CCTCTTTCCTACGAGGAGCTGCCTCTGGGGGGGGCCTGGCTAGGCTCAACAAGCTTTACGATTCAGTGGCCGCCCTTTTACGACAGGCTTGAGGTGCTTTGTGGCTGTCAACTTCTCCGTGGTACGAGCTGCAGTATCGTGGTGGCGCCTGCTGTGACGGCTTTGAAATGAGGCAGAAGCGGAAAGGTGCAGAAAGGGAGGGCTAGGGTGAAGGGCGGGGTGTCGCCCCAGCGGTCAGATAGGGAACCCAGCTTTTTCCGCGCGAATCTGAGGCCTGATCCGTCGCGTGGGGCTGATCAGTCTGCCTGCGCGGCCCCTCGTCTTCTCCTTTCATCCATTGTGCATTTTATGCCCGCCCACCCTTACTCTTACTCTTCGGCGGTCACTTGGTGGCTTGCGTAAACGGCTGGTGGATGTAACGCTTTCTCAGATTCTTGATTTTACTACACGTTTGACGTGTTGGTAATTTTCTTCCAAAGCCTTCAGTTAAAATATGAAAGCCCCGAATTATCCATGGAGTCTGTGGATTTATTTATTGCTCCTCCTAATTTTTAAGTAGGATGCAGTTACATCTTAAATGTTCTCTCACAAGTTCTGTATTGTGAGTACGTTTGTTTGAGCAGTTGGTCTAATGCTGACGATTATCGTAGTAGATACCATTTATGGAGCCTTTACCAGTCGTTCTGAAGTCTGTCATCTCCATTTTATACACGGAGAAGATGAGATGCAGAATTAAGTAACTTTCCCACCCCTAAAATATATGAAGGGGGCGTGGAACTGGTTGTTCAAACTATATCTGTGACCCCGGGAGCGTTAGCCAACGAGTCGTCATCACTGTACCTCTTGACGTAACTGCTATTTCTCTTTTAAGCAGCAGCTCCAAGTGTCATCTGTTGTCTTGTTCATCAGGCTCTGTCCCCACTAAAGTGATTTGTCATTTTCTCTCACTTGCTCCTTCCCAGTCAGGCCAGACAACCTTACTCTTTTAGCTCCATAAGTCACCAAGTCGTGTTAGTTCTGATTTAGAAATTACCTCTTGAAACAGTTTCCTCCTCTCCATTCTGGCTACTGCCTTCCTAATCCACTTCCATCGATAACTAATATTTGACTGGTTTCCTCAGTCCAGGAGGTTGGAACTGGAGCCTGTCCTATTTAATTTTTTTTTAAGTCTTGTGACTTTTTAACATTGCTTTTCAAGAGCAATTTTCATCGCATCCAGGTTATATGTACCCTTTTCACCTCGCTTTGTTTAAATGCAGCTGTCACATTTTTTATTTCTAAAATTGAGAATATATAGTTCTCTGCTGTCTATTTTATTCCGTTTCACTGCCTTTGCCTCACAGTGGGTGTACTCTGTACAGTCTGTTACTGAATCCTCTCCAGCCTGCACTCTCCTTAGGCAGTGCTCCTTCACACAGAGACAAGTGGTTTTTGTGCCTGACATTATTTCTTCAGGACTACATTCTGTTCTCTGCATCCTGCCCTTTCTTTTAAGACTTCCGGACCAGATCCTCCATGAAGCTTTTTCTTAGCAGTTTACTCCTCCATTTAACGCAAGCAGCTTTCAAGTCTTAATCTCCATTTAATCTCCAAATGAACCTCCTTTTAGTCCAAATAAATTTTTATGCAGAATCTCAGTACATAAGCAGATGAAAGAGCAGCTATGGTTCTAATGGGAGAGACAGACCCCTTCCTCGGTTCCTCTGTCGCCACCACTGCAACCTCTTACATCTGTCACATGGCCCCTGTGTAGAACCCTGAAGTGCTGAGTTACATGGTTTGGAAAGCGTTAAGCTTTTGATCAGACTTTTACCCCAAATTATTGTGTGTGTGTGTGTGTGTGTGTGTGTGTGTGTGTGTGTTAGCCTTGCCTCATTAAGTTAGAGGCAGTATGCTACAGTGAAAAACACACGGAAGTTACAGGGAAAAGATCTGTATTTGAGTCTTAATTGTACCATTGACAGTATGTCTTAACTTCCCTTTACGTCACTTTCTGCATCTGTAAAATGCGATAACAGTACCTACCTTACAGGGATATTATGAGGGTTAAAATGGAATTAGGGTAAGCGAGTGGGGTCCACAAATGCCAGTGCTTACTCATCCATATTTCTGGGTGATGACTTCATCGTGCACACCAGCTTTTTCTGAAGGAAGAGAGCAAGCTTCCCGCCAGCCCCACAGCTGCTGCCCTGCAGCTTTTGTCAGCTGGGCACAGACTGGTGTTTTTGCCTTGAGGAAGGGGCTCTGATGGCCTGACTTGGAGAGGTGCTCGTCCTGGAAGCATTCAACAATACCTGGGGGGATGAGGTCATCCAAGAACATGCTGGCTTCCACTGTTGCCTCTGGATGAGAACGGGAGCCCCAGTGGCCAGGAGAACGTCACAATAGTGGGCAGACAGTTTCAGATATGCTTCCAGATCCTTAGACTGTAGAACCCATAGCTCTGTTTTTCTTAACTATTGCAGATACTGGGTTTGAGTTTCAGCTTCACCCCTTGGTAGCATCTGTGTGGAATAGGCAGATATTCCTCCTTGTCTCCTTCACTCTGTTCTGAGGCTCTGTTGAGTCGCCCCTTCTCTCTCTTCTTGGATGCCATGGGTTAAGCAGCTTTTCTTCTACCTTGCCCCTCTGCCATCCTCTTTCTACCTTGGAGCCTTCTGACCATGAACTGGAAACTTGAGCCAAAATAAACCTCCCCTCTAAGTTGCAGGTATCAGGTATTATGTTTCAGAGATGGGAAAGTGACTAAGACACCAGCCTTGTTTTTTGTTTGTTTGTTTGTTTGTTTTGGTATTGGGTATTGAACTTGGGTCCTTGTGCTTGTGAGGCAGGTGGCAGATACTAGCTTTGTTTTAAAGTTATGGTCAGATTGTGAATAATAGATTTAACATCTGAACTTGAGCTACTCATTTGGCATATTTGGAATGACTTTGGGATGAAAACTGCTACTCAGTAAGACTTTTAAATCTTTACCAAACGATGTGACTTTTCAGTGTTGTTGAATAATATCTTTTCTGGAAATCTCAGCCTCATTTATTTTTGATTATTGAATATTATCTTTCCAGGAGAGCTCAGTCCCGCTGAGCTAATGATGCTGACTATAGGAGATGTTATTAAGCAACTGATCGAAGCCCATGAACAAGGGAAAGACATCGATCTCAATAAGTAAGTGAATCTGTAAAAGGAGGGCAATCTTAGATGCTCAGGGGTAATAGTAGTGGGCAGAGCTGGAAGTAGAATTCAGCCATCCATTTCCAGAGTCCGTGTTCTCGTCTTCTGTGCCATGTCCTGCTTCACGTCCTACTTCTCTTCCTCAGTAGAAGCGATAACTCTCTCGAGACGACTCCCTTTGGGATCCTTGGTCTAACCCAGCATCTCTCTGCTTGAGAAGCTCTTTGACCTGTTCATCCTCTTCTGCTCCATAATCATGTTCAGCTCCATCTTTGCTGTACCTTCAAATGAGAGTGAATTTTTTTTGTTTGCATCCATGTTTTTTAAACTATCCGTTCACACTGTGTAGATCAGCCCTAATGAAAAGCTTCTCCCTACAACCCCAGGTCATCTAATCACCACATGCACAACCTGTGCTTAGATCCTGTTCTGCATTAGTTGAGATGCCGTAGTAGTTGACACCTTCCCTGAAACACTGTGTACAGTAAACATTTGCTAAGGGAGTAAATATCCTGTTTTCACTACGAAGTCATATTTTGCCGATCTTTCTACCGTGTCTTTAGTAGTTTTTCTTCTTCCTTTGTTGGTTGCTTCCTTCATTAGAAAAAGCTTTAATTTCTAGCTAACATTTCTACTTCTTGCATATTTTTGCCCTTTTCTTGAAAGCATTTAAAGCTAGCACTTTAACACTAGCCCCTGCTCAGATGTCCTGTTTGTAAGTCCTCTTGGGCCGGCTTTAACATACCCTGCCCATTTTTTAAACTTCTGTACTTTTATGCTGAAAGTGACCAGCTCCCTGTCAAGAATAGGCATCCTGTGTTTGCATCTTCACGTAAGCCTGCCTCTCTGTCCACAGTGTCACCTCGTGTCTGCACTGCCTGTCTGAGGCCTACCCTGTCCCCTGGGCCCCTGGGCCCTGATTCTTCCTAGTGTACACCAAACCCTCTCAACTCCGAAGCCTTCATTGTAGTTCATGTGTGGGTTTACATGGGTGTGTGTAATCACAACACAGAACATGAAAGGACTACGCCTTCCACCTTCTGATGTGCCAAGAACTTAGGTAGTCTTTTGTGTGTGCTAGATAGCCATTAATGTTTGTTGAACATGTTTCTAAATGGATTAAAATTAGAAGACTGGATGACTATTAGGGTTTGGTGAGCAGGTACACAGAAGAAAAGCTGGTAAAGTTGCAGGGAAAAAAATCAAAGGAATTGTTAGGATTAAGGTTCCTTCTGGGGGTTAGGGATGGGGCATACAGCAATGTTTGCTTTGTGATTATTAAGGTGTGTTTGTATGCTTTATGTTCTGTTTTCATGCATATAGTATTCTGTCTAAGAAAGTAATTCTTAACCAGGGTGCTTTCTGCTCAGGAGACTTTGGCAGTATCTAGGGATGATTTTGATTCTTACAACAGGAAGAAGGGGGCTAGTGGAGAGAGGCCAAGGAGGCTGCTAAACATCCCGCAGGGCACTGGACAGCCTCCCTCACAGAGGATGGTCTGGCCCCAAACGTCAGTCATCCCGAGGCCAAAAAGCTAGAGTGCTGTTTTGAACCAGACCTGCATTGTGTCATCATCCCAGGCCCCTCCTCTGTAGTTTTCTGGTTTTCTCATTGGTACTTAGGATGAGGAGAGGAAGTCAGTCACGAATTTTGTCCTTCCTTTGCCGTGATAGTCACAGATCTTAAAGCCACTGGTGAACAGGTAGGGGAGTAACAGGAGATGGTGTCATTTACACATCATCCTGTTGGTGGCTTGCAACTGAAATACTGTGATCGGGATAATGTTGGATGCTTCACTTTCAGGGTGAAAACCAAGACAGCTGCCAAATACGGCCTTTCGGCACAGCCCCGCCTGGTGGATATCATTGCTGCAGTCCCTCCTCAGTATCGGAAAGTCTTAGTCCCCAAGCTAAAGGCAAAACCCATCAGAACTGCCAGTGGGGTGAGTGATTTGACTCATGAAATATCAGTGCGGGTAGCAAGGTGGATCTGGGGGGTTTGGACTCGTGAGCCCGTCTGTTGTGCATGTGCAGAATGTTCAGAAGGCCGAGGGAGGAAGCAGATAGCTGTGCTGGAATGCAGAGGTGGTGTTTTGGTGCCTTTAGACACAAAGATTGAGGCTTGGTGACCATCACAATATGACATGTTATTGGCCCTCTTAAGCTGAAAGGTTTTACTATCACTGGTTCTTACAAAAAGTGCTGCTCGAAGGTAGTTTAGTGGTGCAAAGCGTTGTCTGTATGGTAACTGAAATGACTGACAGTAGGGACCACTATGGGATTCGAGAGAACAGAAGTGTCCCTGCAGCTAGGGAAGGGCCAGTAGAAGGCATGCTGCTTGCTGGCCCTGTAGGAAGCGCTCAGATAAGCGGGGAAGGGAGATGGGAGCCAGGAGTGATGGGACAGGCATGGCGCGTGCAGGGACAGCGAGCACACCAGACGGACAGCAGCTGAGAAAAATCTTTCAGGAAAGCAGAGGACATCAGTTTGGGATCAGCTCCTAAGAGAACTTAGATGCTCAGCAAAGAGCTTAGATAACAGGAAACGTGAAGGGTTCAGAGAAGGAGTGGGAAAGCCAGTAGAGAGAACGAAGATCCGTTATGTGTCTGTACCAACTCCCTGGAGGACTAACCGCTGCGTACTCCAACAGCTACTAATACATTCAAATATTTTTTAAAAGAAAACTTTGATGCACACGGCGTAGTTTAAAACAGAATGACCGGTTTGGACTCTGTTCTAGCAGCTTGTGTTGGCTTTTTGGTGAAGACATGCCGCATTCTTGATCATACTACATTTCTGGACAGTTAAATCCTAAAACTCTGTGTACAGCATCCCGAGATTCTGCTACTAAGCCTAGAGTTTTCTTTTATGTCCTTGAGTCATTTTGTTTTGTTGTGTTTTATTCTGTTTGTCAGAAAGAACTAATAATCTGGTGTCCTGCACTTCCCTCCCTATTATCCCCCTCAGGTTTCTTTAGCATCTATTTCATATCCCTCAATAACATGTTTTAGAGAAAGATCTTGAATTTTTAGGTTTAAGTATTAAATGTGGGCTCACGGCTATAGTAGACAAACTTTTATCAACCTTTCAACCTGACCCATACATCTAACCCATCTGACCCATGACACTACCCTCTCTAATCCTCCTTCAATCTCTGGTCATTTCTGTCCTTTGCTTTTAGGGCTGCCCTTTGTTCTGCTTGCCTCTAAAAGTCAGTGTTTCCCATAATCCTAGGCCCACTGTGTTTGAACTGCTCTGCTTTCCTGGGTCATCTCCGCATTGGACATTTGAGCTGTGATACCAAACATGAGCTGGCAGTAGAAATGAGACCAGGCCTAGGAGTAAGAAGAAGAAGAGAGGGAGAAGTTGATCTGGGAGAGGGCACTTCCAAGGGAGGGAGGAACGGTGCTGATGGAGAGAAAAGTCAGGCTGGCCCACTAACCAAGAAAGAGGCAAGCTTTTTATTCATGTGTAGGGGATGCAGGGGTGAGCTAGAGTCTGGGAATTTTTACTGGGTTTGGGCATGGCTTTAAAGGTGTTTTCTTTTTGTGCAAACATCTTACTCTTCAGGAATGGGCATCCTGGGAACTGTGACATTTTTCCATCAGCACACCCTTCCTCCTCAAACTTCCTACCATTGTGAAAGGGTAGAGGTGTTGTAGTTGCTAAGGGAATACCTCATGCTTTTAATGAGTAACAGGTTAAGGGTCCAGGAGTGAGTTTGTCCCCTGTCCTTTTGTGGCTTTATTTTCTCATCTGGTTTACTCTGGGGAGTTTATGGCCAAGGCATCCTGACTTCTGATGATGCACCTAGTTTTTGACGTTGATAAGATTGTTTGGGAAGCTGAGGGGGTAACACATACCATGCTTTTAATGGGTAAAAGGCCCTGAGCTAAGGCCCCAGAGTGCAGCTACCCTTTGTCCCCATAGTGATCCTTGTCTTAGCTGTGTGCTGAGTCTCAGCCCCGACCTATCCCCGAACTTCAGAGTCGTGTCAGATTCAGGCATGGAGGACATGTGTGCCTGGACTGCCTCCGAACCTCAAGTGTGACAAAGCTAAAACTACCTGCAAATTTGCTTATTCAGATTTCATCTTAGTTCCTGGTGCTACCATCCACTCAGCTTCTAAAAACACATCATCTGTTCCCCCATCACTGGCAAGAAACTGTTGGCCTTTATTCTTTTTTAGATTATTTCAGTCATTTCCTATCAGGTCTCTGACTTACGTACACCACCTTCCCCTTAGTGTAACCAGAGTGAGTTATAAGAATAGGAGAAGCACAGTCATTCCCTGTGTGCCTGCAATCTCACCTCTGTGACTTATTCTTGCTATTACTCTGATGGTGCTTTGTATTTTACAGGGCAGTTTTAGGTTTACAGAAAAATTGAGCAGAATGTACACAGAGTTCCCATGTACTTCTTCCTCCCCTGGCCCAGTTTCCCATCTCTAACGTCTTGTGTTGGTTTGGTGCACTTGTTACAATGGGTGAACCAATGTTTCTGCTTTCCCCACCCTTGCCCAAGAGCCAGGGATTGAACCCAGGGCCTTGCAAGTGCTAGATAAGCCCTGAACCACTGAGCCACGCATCCCTGGCTACGTCACTGTGGACTGAAGCCTGTCGTCTGCTTGCTTGGGTACATTCTTTGGATTTTGCCAAATGCATAATGTCATGGACCCATCATTATAGTGCCATGCAAACTACTCTCACTGTCCTGAAACTCTGTACATCCCTCCCCATGACCCAAACCTAACCTGACACCCACCAAGCTAGTTAGGCTCTGTAGTTTTGCCTTTTCCAGAATGTCATGTCATTGAAATCATCAGTATGGAGCCTTTTCAGATTAGCTCCTTTCACTCAGCAGCATGAATTTAAAGTGCCTCCATGGCTTTGCCTGGTTTGACAGCGCGTCCCTCTTTATAGCTGGATGATGGCATTGTATGAATGAACCACTACTTGTTTGTCGGTTCCCCTGTCGAAAGACATCTGGGTTGCTTCCAGTTTTTGGCAGTTATGAACAAAGCTCCTGTAAACATTATCGTGAAGGTTTTGTGTCTATGTATTTTCCGTATATTTGGGTAAATACGAGAGAGTGTGATTGCTGTATTGTATGGCATAAGTATGTTTGGCTTTGTAAGAAACTTTGAAACTTTCATCCACAGTTGCCGTACCATTTTGTATTCCCCTCCAGCACTTCTGTTGCCCCACAACTTCGTTAGCATTTGGTTTTACTGTTTCGTTTTAGCCATTCTTAAGTTGTATAGTGATGTCTCTTGTTTTAGTTTGAAGTTCTTTAATGACGCATATCGAGCATCTTCTCATAAAGTACTTATTTGCCATCCGTATACACAGATCGAAAGTCAGTGCCTTTAGTTGTGTCATCCTGGCTGCTTCGATGTCCCGAGTCAGTTCAGGACATTTACCTTCGATGGTCATTTTGACTTTGGGGAAGAGGCAGAAGTCACCAGTCCCAGATAAGGGGGATGAGGCAGGTGAGGACACACTGTGATGTTTTCATCACCAGCTGCCCTCTGTTGGGTGGCACCTGACAGCAGGATTCTTTTTTTTTTTTTTTTTT